ACAGCTAGGAAAAGCAATAGAAAAGGTCAGGAAAAGACAACCTCCTTCTTGATATAATAACATGAATTTCTCTTAGACCTCTGGCCTAACTCCTCAGCTTTCTTTGAAAAAAAGTATGTAATAAAAGAAGATGCTGTAAAACGTGGCAACAGTAAGCACAAATCAGAAGTCTTATTAGAGAGGTTTAAAGGGTTTAAGAAAGGCTTAACTATCCTTCCAAAAGAAAATTTCTAAGATGGCTGTTCACAAAAAGCCATCCAGAATGTAACTAAGGAAAAAATCATCATGATAAATGTTGAAGACTTCATAAAAAACAGTAAAGCAGGCAAAAAATACAACCTTAAAATTGCTTCTAAACATGAAATTAAACAAAAACCATCTGCTTATAGTCCATGAAGCCCGTCAGTCTGTAGTATTCAGAGCCTGCAGTGCTGAGAGTGCAGGGAGCAGTAGTCACTAGTTGTGAATCCTCTGTAGTCTCTCTTGCTGGGACGCTGGTTCTGTGGTTTTCTTTCTTGCTCATTCTGTCCCACTCAGAAAGAGAAGACAATCCCACATGAGATTTGTCTCAGTGAAAGAGATGAGTAAATATTGATGTTTTTTTGTTGTTGGTTTTTTTTTTTTTTTTTGGTGCAGACATCACCCATTTATCCTAATGAGTATATTTTGAGTACATAGGATGAAAATCTGGCCTGGTCCAACTAGTGGCATATTCAGTTCATATACAATTTCCCTTTTCCATATGCCCACTTGTACACAGTAGAACACAGAAGAATGAGGGTGAGGGTGGATGACCAAAGTGAAGTCCTTGTTACATCCTCAGGTGGGCTCTCATGAACTTGCTGGCTCATCTTCAGAGACAGATGTGCAACTCTTGTACAAAAATGTACTTCTGCCTCCAATACTTGGTTAGGCTTTGTGTTTACAATATTTTAGATAATCATTTGCCTGTTTTTAAGTTGCAGTTCTTGGCCACAAGCTCGTTCTTGATGTCATCAGCTTTGAGCCCTTACTCTCTCATTTCACTTCTCACACTATCTTTTGTATTCAGCCTATTGAATTTATGAGTTTGTGTTTGAAACAACTGAAAAGATCTGTGCTTTTCATGTGTTTGTTCCTGAAGCCTAACAGTTCCCTGTCAGACAAAGTTGCCACTGATGTCGATTAAGTATTAAGCCTTGATGCCTTTATGTTTTGAGATACAACAGTGAAACTGCACTAAACATTGAGAGGATTATCATCAGTGCTTTCCCCTTAGCACTTCTGCTTAGAATAAAAGAAATGTCAATTTTGAATCATTGTAATTACCTTGAAGATGTGTGAAATGAATCTTTATGCAAATGTGTATTTTTATGGGAAGTGCAAGTCTTATGCTTGGTTAAGAAACTCACAATGCATTACTTTGTTCTGAGAATCTGAATTCATGTTTTTCATGAAGAGGCACACACCTATAGGTTGCTATCTTTAGAGTAGCTGTGTGTTCTCTGAGTATTCTTAGAATCTCTAGGCGGGGCTAATTTCAGATGTAACTAGGGACACCTGCAATATCTGAGAATTTTTGTGGCAGGAGATCAAAGAGTTCTGGAACTCTGGTTTTCCTTCCATGGCAGCCCGCAGCACTGCACTACAGTAGCAGAAATAAGTATTTCACCACAGATGGTACTTATGAGCATTGAAAATAATTAGATATATTGTTTGGAATTGCAATCAGTGTGCTACCACTGAGTAACAATATTCTTCTGTTTACTTTGGTACTGTGTGGCAACTACAGTAGAACCACTTAGTAGTAGTTGTACTATATGCAATAGGGAACAATAGGTAATAAGGTAAGTGTTGTCATAGTAAGCGTTGACACAGGAATGTCAAACAGGATTACTAGAAGCCCCCTGTTTTCTCCCAGTGTAAAAATATGCAGAAAGGAATGAATTAATTCATTGATTCTGTCAATGTTGAGAATCAGTTGTTAATCTGCATCCCTGCATCCTTTTCGTTTTATGCAGCATGCACCATTTCGTTTTATACAGAATGCTTGTACTGGCTGGCAGCCAGTCTTTCTGCTGTGCTTTCCCTATGGGAACCACATAGCATGTTCATGAAGCTGGACTTCTCCAATTGTAGTAATGTTGGATTTATTTTATATCTTTTCAAGCACTTTTTATCTTGGCATTTCAGATTTTCAGGACCATTTAAAATAAGTTTACTTTAAACGCAGAAAACTTTCCCACTTCCAGTATTTTTTAAGTACTTCAATTGAGTTTGAGCTTACTTACAGCCATACTGAACAGAATCTTATTACAGCAGCAAAACTTGCTTTATAGCAGTAGCTGATACGTTAGAGGCTGACTTGTAAAGGCAGATGTCTGGTGTTGTTAAGCAGCACTGACTTTGTGGATTTCAAGCAATCTTGAAATCCAGAAAATAATTCATGCAAATATGCAGCTACAGTTTGCAGCATCATTACTGTGTGCATTGCAGTCAGTGGACCGTTGATCATATACAATGTTCTTTTCTGCACACAGGACTAAAAAGCTCTAAAGAGCATAATCTCACCAGCAAGATTAGATTTTTCCTGGAAATAATTTTCATAACTGCAAGAATTAGCCTAGTTTAATCCTTGTTGTGTTGAGTATTGCCTGGAATGTAATTATTGTCAGCATCATGTACTCATGCCTCTCTATTCCTTTTCTTTGGTTTTGTAATGTCAGAGTCTCTGTTTTATTTTCTTATTTGCCTTGTATTTCTCAATTCAGATGGGAATCAGACTGATCTAAACTAGATTGCAAGTGTGTCAGGTGCCCTGCCCTTCTGCTGCTGCTTTTATTCCTTCTGAAAGTGTAGCACAAATCACTGTTATTGTCACCATTGTCTGAAACCTCTTCTGCTTCAGCCATGAAATCAGAGGCCTCGCATTATCTTTCTGTTTGTTCTTCAGTTTGTTACCATGGTACAACTTTCTTCTCAACTTTGTTCTTCGTCATCTGCATTCTTACTTTTCATTTCTCCATGAGTTTCTGCACTCTCTCTCTGGCAGTGTTGTTTCCTGCATGTACTCCCATTTCTCTGATTACTCTTAGGCTCCTTTTGGCATCTGTCTTCCACTCTCATTCTTCCCCAGCAGACACCTTACCCAAGGTCTTAGCAAGCCTGATCACAGACATGACAGGGCAAAGATCAATGAAAATAAATTTAAACAGAAGTGCTGTCCCTGCAGTCAGTGGACATGGAGCCTCGATTTGGGACACGTGGTCCCAAATGCTCTGTGCAGGAAAGTCCATATTGAAGATATTGGGACCTCTCCCAGGGTAAAGAACTCAAATCTTTAGGGCTAAAATCAAGACGATTGGAGAATCGATTCCTTTATGTAATTGTAGTTACAAAGAATATGTTTCAAGAATAAGAACAGTGTTACAAAGCAATGTATGTATTGTATACTATTATAAAACAGTATATTAAATTATTTATTTAATGACATTTTTTTTCCCTTAACAAAGACTTAAAGTAAATTCAGTGGTCATACTTATGTGCAGATAACAGACAGCATTGTACAAGCAGGAGTGTGCCAATATTTGTAATTGGTTTTATTAAAGTATGTCCATGAAGCAATCCTTATAATAAATCACGGTTCATTTTAAAATGTAGCACTGTATTATCCAGTTACACAGCTTTTGTCTTTGCACTGAGTTAAATGTTTTTTTGGAAAATTTAGGTATCCAAGAATAGATTAAAAATTAGGGTCTTTCAAAGTATCAGCCTTATGCATCATCACGTTATTTTACAGTTAAGAAGTAATGGCCAGACCTCCAGTGAATTCACTTATGTGGAAAAATACTGAGAGATCGTGAGGTGCATCAGCTAAAAGCAAAATAAATGGCCAGCATTTTGTAGTTAATTTCTTAAGCAGTTTCATAAACATGAAGAGGGAGCGTTTCCAAAGAAAACTTCACTATTGAGCTGTTTAGTATCCATTTTGTATGATTACACTCTATCAAAAGGTTGGATGTTCAGAATCTAAATTGTAAAATTTTTCATGAAATTAGCAACCGAAATCATCCATAAATTCCTCAACAGATTGCTTAAAAATTCTTCCTTGTGCTTATTATTCCTGTCCTTTTTGCAGAAAGTTGACACCAATACTAACTGTTGAATTTATATGTATGCAAAACTTAAAGAAAAAAATGACATTTTCACTCAGAAATGAGGTGTAAAGCAAAATCTGTAATTAAAAAAAAAAAAAAAAGACTGTATCACACAGAAAAATAAACACAGCCCTAAAGATCTAGAGCTCTCTGCATTGCTTTTGCTCTGCCCTGAGAGTGTATAATAATTCATTCTATTAAGATCGAGTTAATGGTTTAATGAATTTAAGTCTCATAACCCCCAGTAAAGTGAGTAAATACATCTTTTCTGACTTCACGAATGACAAGAGTGGTCAAGTTAAGCAACCCCTTTGTAACAAGCCATCAAGTCAGAACAGTGTGTGTGAGATGGTATTACACACAATTTCTGACATTATGTTTTTTGTATGTTTTGGACACGTAAGTATTTGTGTGTACGGCCTGAGACCTGTTAAATAGTTTAGTTTTCAAAGATCCTGCTGATCTAGTCCTGTCAAGGATTATTATGTATTCCCAAATATAGGGACACCTTGGTAATATATAGGGACAATAACATAGTATAGGGACAATAATATAATACGTAGGGACAATAATGATATAGGGACAAGTTGGTAATCACCTTGACTAGGTTGAATTGTAGATTTCTGCGCTTCTTCTAACACGCTCTCACAAGTTGCTCTTCTAAAATGGAAATTTCATTTCATTCACCTAAAAGTGAAATTTCAGGGGGGTGGAAAGGCACTTCCATTTCTGTAATCTATGTGTCACTGTCCTGCAGAATTTTTCTCATTAATCACTGTTGATATGAAGCACATGCAAAAACATGTACATTTCTTGACTGTCTGCTGGTTCCTTATCTTTGTGTCTTTTACTGTGATGTTGTAGAGCTTGGATCATATGGAAACCTAAAATATTATGACACAATGACTGAAGAAGGTAAGAAATACTTTAGAATTGTTTGTATCAGCTTCTTTCGAAGGCTTTTCAGTGTTTACTTTTTATTTCATTTTTCTTTGTTCTGTTTTCAGTTTCTCCATTTTTGAATGATTCCTTTTTGCATGACCTCATTGACAGTGCAATAAGCTTTGGTTCTTTTTTTCTGGTTTTTATTTTCAACTTTTCAGTTTTGCTACTTTCAGATAAGGAAATACAGCTGAAAAAGAATGTACATGCAAAACCACACTGATAAGTTACGTATTGCAGTATAGTATGAATTATAAATGCTCATTTTGTAATATTTTACAGTGCATTCAGGAAGATTGTTTATGGATATTGAAATCACTTGGCTAAACCTCTCGGCTTGAGAAAAATTATGTACTGACTTCAGTTTACTGTATTACTCAAAAGTAATGAATGAATTCTAAAAACTAGGCATGAGTATTTGTGTAAAATTAATTGCATGCTTAATTGCAATGCAGAAGGTATTCAACTTAAAATTCTGATTCTAACAATACAGGAAGGAAGTAATTAGGGTCTAAATCAGGGCTCACTGAAATCTGGGGGAGTTCTTCGGCTAATAAAAAGCATTACAGTTTACTATATTTATTCAGGAGTGCAGTTCCTTAGTTTCTCCCACATTTTCAGTCCGAATTCATCAGCATTTCTGTAATTCAAAATTTTCCAGGCCTGAGTCCTGAGTTCTATAAGATCGAGGCTGTTGTCCAACTCTTTGACTGGGATGCCTGGCAGATGTTGTGAATGCTCAGATAAGTAGTTAGTGGCCTATCTGAGGAGAGAAATAAGGTTGAGATCTATTGAAAGGTTAACTAACTATCCCTACTTATTTTTAATGCTGAACATAAAAGGTGAAGAGCTTATTTTCTCTGTATTTATAAACACGGTCATATTCAAGTTTAGATTATAGTTTAGGTTGATCTTGATATTAAAAAGGTTTATAGAAAGCCTTCATTACAGACTTACTCTTGGTCACGATTGGTAAATTTTGACTGCTTCTCATTTTCTGTGTGTACTGCTGCTGCTCAAATAAGTCCATATTATTCTGGGGCCATCTATGAAAGATGGTTCCTTCTATCATTGACAGATGCTGGTTTCTTCTGGAGCAGGCATGACCATCAACTTGTAGGGCAGCCCAGTAGCACCACCCTTAATTGCACAGATTCACTGTCTGATTCACAGGGTTGGTTCCAATATAAGAGATAATTCTTGACAGGAGATTTTACCTGGCAAACATCAGTCTCTGTGTTGTGTAAGAACACTTCTGAAGGACCCTAAAGTGCCTGAAATGAGTAGTCAGCAGAAGCAATTAAGATAGGGCTACCAGAAATAAAGCTTTTGCAGTATGTCTCATCTCCAGTCAAGCTGTGAATGTCATTTCTTGTTCTAGCCTCAGAGTTGGATATGTTAAAGTTCTAATATTTTATTCCGTAGTATTAAACCTGCCATTTCAAAAGCAATTTCTGCATAAGTTGTCTTCGGTTTTTTATAAATCCTATTATGTTAGTTAAATATAGCTACTTGTGGGAAAATATCCTTGCAAGTATGCTATGTATAATATATGTACTTATTATTACTGTGCCTACACTGAAGTAATGCTATTAATATTCAATGTCACCTCAGAAAGCCCTCCTCATGAATAAACAATCAAAGAGCATGCTGTAGCAGTAGCTAAAATCCAGTAGCAAAAATCTTCCAGTAACAAAAAGAAGGAAGGAAGCTCTTTGTCTGAAGAAGTATTAACACTGACAAGAGCCTATGGTACAATTTAGCTTAAACACAACTGTCACCATCATTTTCATATCTTTCATAAAGCAATAATGAACAGAATACCTTAGAAGCTGCAATTAGATCAACGTGCGTTATATTTTCAGTTCTCTATTTGAATATTCAGAAGTATAATCCCTACACACTCCACATCACACTTATTTTCATCATCCCTTTCACGCTTTATTTTCTTTTTTTTTTTTTCCTTGAATTAGGTTTTTATACATCTTCTGCAATAAGTTAGCCACAGAAACATGTAAAACCAGTTGCAGATTTCTAGTTTTTTCTAATGTCATACAACCTTACCCCGGGACCTCCAAGCCCTGAGTGGAGAGAGGCAGCAGATTTTTCGTCCTCTGGTGGAGAAGCACAGGCACATCTATTTTTGTAGGCAAAAGTGACAGGTGGCAATAGAAGATACAGCCAGAGGGCCTCTGGGCTCCATGTTTCTGAAACTGATCTCCATTTTATTTGCTTCTGTTTGGTCAGAAATTTATATTAATTGCCGATTAATCAATTGCCCAACTTAAAGAAGTGATAGACCATACCGGATGGGAAAAAACCCTTGCAGTAGTCCTGTGCTGTCAAGTAACCTCAACCAACAGCCTAGGACTTGACAAAACTACATTTATTTTCAGGTGGCACTTCTGCAGCAATTTACAGTTCAAGCTGAAATCACATGAGATGAATTTCCACAACTGATCAATTGCCACCCCTCAGATGTGTTCCACAACCAGGCACCAGCAGGACTGGAATGCACAGTTCTGACTGCTCAGCAGCCACAGATTTGGTGTCTTCTGATACATGAAAGCTTAGCTGTGGTGCTGGTTGTGCATAGATGTAGTAGATTGTGTTTGATCTGAGACTGAGAAGTAGACAAATTGTAAAGTCTTAAATTTTTAGACAAGTGAATTTCTGAAGATAAATTACTTTTCTGTAAAATCAGAGGCTTCTCATGCAAGGAATCTGTAGTCTGTAATTTAGATTGTAGTCCAAGGATTGCATTTTTTTAATATATTCATGATCAGCAAGAAAATCTCTTCCTTCTGATGCCAGCTGGAGTTACTCATGCAGATCAAGGTGTATGTACTACACAATACTGATTTGTTTGCATATATTCAAATATAAACAATTTAGTTTTAAGCTACCTTCTTTGCTAATCATCTGGCCTTGATCTCTTGTTCTTTCAGAGCTATTCTTTCTAAACTAAAATGAACTGCAGCATTTGTCAGAGTTCAGCAAATCTAGATTAAATAGGTATTTTCTGGAACAAATATCCTATTTCAGGTCTGTGCTGTCAAATATTTTCATCAATCTAAACACTCGTGAAACCAATTGCTGTGAAAACTATGCTTGGGTATAAAAACCTACAGCATATAGGAAATACACACTTCTAGCTTCTCCTAGAACAATAATGATAGCATTGAATTCCTGTGGGTTATTTTAATGACGCCAGGAGTTGAGAGAAAAAAGACATGGAAGGTCTGTGCCTAAGTCAAAATTTGTGGGGCTTTCTGAAATTTCCTGGAGTGGTTCTTTGTCCATGTGGGTCTGTCCTTCCCCTTTGCTGAACAAGGTCTGATTTGGTTTGTTTGAAACTTATAGACAAAAAAGGAAGGCAAATGGAAAGGGGAGTCATAGGCCTGTGTTCTTTTACTTTGCTCTGTCTTCAGACAGACTGGTGGTACTTTTTTTACAGCAATGAAGCTTCAGTTCAGGAGCTTTCGGTACTTGATTTTATGTCTTTTAATCGTTTCCTCCCGCTGTTTATTTACCTACACTGAGCATGATATGCTAATGAAAAGATAGGGGCTGCTGGAAGGATAATACTGCTTGTTAGGACTTGGTGATGTTTTAATTCTTTCCAAGTGATTTGTTGTTGATGTGAGAATTCCACTTCCAAGTGAATGGTAACTGCTAGTCCCTATGTACTGTGCATAAGTTTCTGCACATATAAAGGCTTTAATACATGCATTTGAACCTATTTCTTGTGATGGTGTAGTTTCTGATAATCTTTGATTTGTGAGAAGGGAAGAGAGGATTTCTTTCTTAACCAATGATTGTTTCTTGTATGTCTTTTATTTTAACCTGGAAACAGTGATCTGTTTCTGTTATCCAGCTACCTGTGTTCATCCATGACCAGTAGTATTTTGCATTGCTAATCAATTATGTGATTCTACTGAAATATATTTTGACCTTAAGCCTGCTGTCTTTTTTATTTCATTGTTTTTTGTTGATTTTAGTGTTTTCAACTTTTAGTATTGATTTTCAGTGTTTCAACTATTTTCAGTGGAATTTTAAACTGGCGATGAATAGCTAAAAACTGCAAGACCTCTATCTAATAATGCTATATACTTTAGTCAACAACTTATACTTTAAAAAAGAGAAAAGAAGTCCTATAAAGCAAAACCAATGAGGATGCAATAGAGAAGGGCATACAGCATCTGTCTACAACACATGTGCTATGATAAGCTATCCAAAGAGCTCTTACATAGACAGATCAACTAAAGTGGAGGAAGGAGTGAATTTGTTTTGCTTAAGTTTGCCTACTTTGACATTGCCTAGTATGAATGTATCATTTGGAAACACTGATCAATGAAGAGCAATAGGACTTGGGACTTTCTCTTAGGAGGAGATGAGTTGCCCTGAAGGCAGCTGTATAGTTAACCTCATGGTAGACAACATGGTGAGATGGAAGTTTTCCTTTGAGAAGCTGGCATGGAAATAATTTGTTCTGAAGATTTCATCATTCCTATCTGAAGTATCAGTAGAATTTATGGGGGCATACTGAGTGCAAAGTGACAAGATTGACCACACCCACAGTAATGTGGTGTATGGGTTCATCATAAATTCTGTGTTACTGTGCTACTAGCTGAGACCTGAAACTGTGTGTATTTGTTCGTAATATCCATATTCATCTGTATTCATCTTCTCTTTAGCCTCAGATCCTACACCAGTAGTTTTTTAGGTGGAACTTTACTGACTGCTTCAGAAGAAACGTTGGATTCCATTTTTTGTTCTACTTCTTGCAGAGTTCGCAAAACGGGAAGAAAAAAAACAACAAACAAACAAAAAAGCATTAGTAAGAACATCAGATAGTGTTTAATAGCGTTTGCTTTTGGGGAGGGATGGAAATGGATTGTTAGCAGTGATTTTTGGATCCTAAGCTATGGCAAACAAACTTTGCCTCTCAAAATATCTGCATCTGAATAATAATAATGCTTTCTTTTAGGAAAATTCAAGGAGAGGGCCTCAATTCTGCATAAGATCGCCAAAAAGAAGTGCCAGGTAGAAGACAGTGAAAGGCAGAATGGAGCTGCTAATCATGGTGAGTGCAGCCATGCAGATCTGTTGTGTGTTCTTGAGACTGTTTTTCACTGTTTCATTTTGCTTGTAAATCCTTAGAGGTTAATTCCTCTATTGCTTCGTTTTTACTGTCTTGCTAAACATATTCTGATTCCCTATAGAAAAGAGAATGAAATCCGAAGATAGTACAGGAGTTAAGTGCAAGATGAGAAGGTCTGATTTGCAGGTAGAAAGCCTCCTAGGAGGACTGAAGAGATAAATGCAGTACTGATTTTGGACAAGTGAGGAACTGGCAGAAATAAAGATGCAAAACTTACCTGTCAAAATTCAGTGAGTTTATTGAGTTATTGCTGCTGTTGTTGTTCTCTTTAATCTGCTTGTTCAACCCATAGGTCTAAAGAGAGTATTGACCAGTATGACTAAGCTCTGTGGTTTCTCCATGTCTGCGTTACAGAACCACTTGCACAAGTAAAGGACAGCAACACAATTACAGTTAGCTCAGCCCCAGTGCAGTGTTGTTAAAGGAAAAGTTTTGTTAATCAGTTCTGCAAAATAAACACCATCCCCACAATCCAAACAGATAACTGAGGTAGTCTCAGGTGATTTATAGCATTACCAGCTCGTTTCTTAGTGGTGCTTTGCCCTGTTGTTCCATGTACTGAATCCAGCCATACATGCATATTTTACCTATCCAGAGGAAACAGTGTTCACCAGTTCTCATTTTATGGAGCTCTAAAAGTTTTCTAGAGAGTAAGTGAAACCTGTCAGAAATTTCACACAAGTAGCTTCTACGTTACAGAGTGATGGGTATAGTCTCTGTAGAACAAGAACCACTGCTCTAGGATTATATGTGTTCTATGTAGTACACCCCCTGCCTCGAAGAGAAACAACCTTCCTATTTAAGATTTTATTTGTGAATCTACTAGTTGTTGAAAGTCATTTAAGCCCATCTGTATTAATTGTACGGAATTAGCTCACAGTGGCTTTTCACTGAGGGCAAGAATTTGTCTTTTACTTCAAAAGTTCCTATACCAAAAGGAAATCCATATTATCCTTTGTCTACCATGGCACATTCTCTGCATTAGAAAACCATATGCAAATGTGTCTGATAAAAACTGAATCATTTTCTCAAATGATACTTTTCCTGACCTCGTGCTATGTTTAGACAAAATTTACTTCCTCAGTCAAGCAACTGAATGGGACACAGTTGATAAACCATAATGCTGAGTGTGGGGTTAAGAAATACTGAAATAATTAAAGACAGTCTTGGCACTCAGCTTTGGCTGTGATCTCGGATTTTTAATTTAGAGGAATCTCTGGGTAGCAGTAATGTAACTTGACAGCTGTATTTACTTACGTTCATAGGAGCGTACCATAATGCACGATGAACTTGTATAAGACATTTCTTATTGCTATTCCCCATTACTTCAAATTGTCCAAGGGATTTTTGGCCATTGACATTTTCATCTGGCACATACCGAAAGCGGTGATAGCTGTTTGGAGAATTCCAAGATAGACTAAGTCAGAAAAAATTTGAATAAATGTTCTGTCAGAAACTGAAGGCCCAGTTTTATTCCTTTAGTCCCTTTTACAGTTTTGCACAAGGGCAATAGGATTCTGTTTTAAAGGTCATCCATTCATTCTTATCCTGTATTTTTGAAGAAGAAGGAACTTTATTACAGTTTGGAAGTAACTTTCGAAACTGCAGAGGTTAGTGTGTTACAGAAGTTATTTCTTCTTGAATGCAGCCCCTCATTTGCATTCTTCAATGTGTAGAACATTATATATTGTAGTTTACCTGAAATGTTATGCTCAGTTTAGCATAAGGAGCGTGCAGTATTGCAAAGAATGTACATTTTTCTAAAACACAGTTCCCACTACGATGGCTTCTTCAAATGCAAGTTTGCTACTTATAAGAAATTGATTCAAAATGTGGTCAAACAAAAGCCAGGATTTTGGTCTCTCTCTTTTTAAGGTTTGTCCACCGTCAGTATTTGATGATTTCAACAGACTAAATACGTGACTGCAGTTTCACTAATAGATTTGGTTTTTAATACTGTGTTGTTTTCTTGCTCTTATTTATGGATAATACCACAGAGAAAGGTGCAAAAGTGGAAGTTGCAGTAACACCACCAAGCGATTCAGGACCAGTGCAGAATGGAATTGCCCATAATGTTGATGAGGAGGTTGGTGCTTTTTTAATTCTGATTTTTGTTTTTATATCAGTAAATATATTGCATGCTTGATTCTGCTTTTCACTGAAAAGATGCCTCTGAGGAGCAAAAAGTTGCAAATAGGAAGTCTACGATAAATACAACCTTCATTTATTACCGAACACAATATATTACATTGTGGTTTGCTATATGTAAGAACTGAAGTCTGTTTGCACACGTATCTCTTGTGCCCAGTGCCCTTCCATGTCAGATAAGATAGTAGTTTAAAATGTATTCTTTTAGGAAATGTGTTTGTGCTCATCAGATAGCATGTTCACATCATAGCGAGTGGAAATCGCTTGTCTGATTATCATGATATTGCACAGAACCTGTTCTCTTACGAAGGGAGCTTGTCACACTGTGCTTCATAGGATAGTTAAAAAGTAGGTGAAAACTAGGAGCTGAATGCAAGTGTGCCAACTTTTCCACTCTGCCTTCTGTTATCTTGAGGCATACAAAATTAAGTTTTAATATGGTATCGTAGTGTTTCTGTGACTCTTCTTGTATATGGTTAAAATCTAGGTAGGAAGAAATGAAACATTTAAATTGAGTTCTTTTAGCATGTAAATTTATAAGTAACTTTGCAATTCTGTGTAACTCACACTGTGACTGAAATGGCTATATGAATGAGCTGGTTTCTCTCTGAAGTCAGCTGTAATTTTCAGGTGTAGCTGACTGACAAAATAGGCCTTCCCATGGTCTTTCATAATGACTTAATTTTTTAAAATGTCACTAGTCTGACCTACAACCCAAGTAGGCAAACAAGTAGAAAAAAGTGGTGAATTGATTTTGCTAAACTTGAACACTGCTTTTAGACTGAACCAGCCAAACCTACACAGAGAAAGAAAGTCTTGTTAAAAATAGTCTGTGACATAGAATTTGGTATAATGATTTTGTTTATATGTACTGACATAAGAAAGTTGCTTTAAAGGTGCTGAAAAGAGGTTTATGCCATAGTATGATCTTCCCCATAATACTAATGAAGTGAACTGTCTTGCATTTACAAACAGAAAAATCTTGCAAAAAATGCAAGGCCTCTGTTTTGTTTTGGATCGTGCAAGGCTTAGGATTCAATATTTTAGCTGTTTTCACTTGCTTTATGTTTGACAAAAATTTTGTCCAAATTCGTTCTGCCTTGTTCATGGCTAGAATATCACTGTGGATAAAATTCTTTCCTAGAAAGGTTCTGCAAGCCATAGGGAAAAAAAAAGAAAAAAGAAAAATGATGTCCAAATAACAGTGTTTGTTTATTTCTGTTGGCTACTTTCTAAACACTGTTATCCTTTACAAATGGTATAATTTAACTGGAACATAAATATATCTGGATTATGTTATCCACATCCATGGTGTCCACCTTTGTGCCTCTGTCTGCAAGACTGAAAAAAAAGAATGAGTCTTTGGGAAAAGTGTTTTCTTTACAAAGCTAGAGGTGGAGTAATGACATGATGGTTATGACCAACAACATGGGTTAGTGCACTGCATCAGGCGAGAAGGCTTTTTAATTCTGTACTGTTTGAAGATAATTTTGGTCTTTGAGAATAGAAATGGAGAACCAGGATCTGTCCATAGAGATGGATGGTTTTTTATTTCCTGAGTAATTGAGTAATGATAATGAGTCTGCCATAGATAGGAGAACTTAGTAGAACATTAAATTACATTTTTGTTGATATAAGCTGTACAGACTGACATACCTCTTAAAAGATCCGTATTATCCTAATAGAACATTACTCATAAGTAAAAGAGTTGGGTAAAATCTGTGGCATAAAGAATCTCAGCAGTCCACTTATATTCCTCATTAATACTCATCATTTTAGGGTAAACTAGGTCATTTAACTTCAGCAAAATACATAATAAAATCTAAAGCAGTGTGGTTTTCCAAGTTCTGTTCACAAATGCCAGTAAAGGATAGCATAGCCTGGTGTAACCTGTTTGGAAAAATAGTTTGTGCGATGTACGGTAACTCTGATAGACTCTGAGAGTGCTCAGTAGCTTACCAAGGAAATTGATCTTGCTCTGCCACATTTTTTGTACTGAAACCGCTCAGTGAAAACAAAGAAGGAAGAGTAATCTTAAGCAATCATATTTCACAGCAGTGTCCTTATGCTATCGTTTGGCATTGTAATGAAGTGGTTCCTGAGCTTGTTCAGAAATCAGCAAGGTCAGGCAGCCTCGTCCTTCAAGATAAAGTTTTCAATCTCAAACAACTTCAGGATAAGGAGGGAAAATTATTGTAGGAGTACATTACTCAGCAATGCTTTCTTCCTTTTCCTCCCATCTCCATTTAGACATTTTAAAATTTTGATGAGGGAGGCTTTTGAATTTTTTTGTTAATTTCAGCAAGTAAGTATTAGGTTGCTCTGAAAATGTACTGTGCTGTATCAGAGGTGGGATACATTGTTTACCACTGTTAAAATGACAAGATGGAGCAAGTGGTGAAGCTTGTAACTGATGGAGGAATGATTCTGCATTTTTAGCTCCATCAATCTGAAAGAAAGGATTTAAAGTATCTGCTATTTCAGAAGAAAATAGCAGTCTCCTAATAACATTCTGAGATGGCTCATGCTGGATCCCTCCCAAGTGGCCTTTCTAATTTTGTCCTCTTCCAGTGATAACCTGACAGTTGCTTCTGTCTCAGTCTGCTTCTCTAACTGATATGTTGGAACTTATTTTGTAATTTGAGTATATGCAATGGAATTCTGAAAAAGCTGTAATAAAAATAGTCTACTCATTCATGCTATGTGTGTAACAAACAAATATTGATCTCTGTGATACATAGGTCCCTGCTTCACTGAGAGGCTCCCTGGCTAATCCCTCCTGTACAGGGAGCTTTCCTCAATTCATTGCTTAGGTTTTTGTGCACAGTTTCCTGGTACACCAGGAATGTGGCTTCACCCTGAAGCTAACACTTGCTTTTTCTTGATGAACAGTATATCTAATTTCTTTATTTCTAAATGAACAACTCTGGAACGTGGCGTTACTAATGTTTTCAGTGATTCAGAAGTCTGTCTAAACAAACTTATGAACCACTTATGAATCATTGAGATACTTGAAGTTAATAAAATGCAGTGGATCTTAAGCAAGCAGTTTAAGAACAGAAAGGGAGAGAGAAAAGAAAAAGAAAAAAAAAAGACAATACAAAAGTAAAGGTCAGGAGACACAAAGCAAAGAAAAACAAGATCCTCATCTACTTCCACTGACATCTAAAGGAAGTGTGCTTCCTGTAGAGGAAGAACATTCAACCAAAGCTTGGTGAAATGTGAAGTCTGAATGTTCCTCATACATTTCATCCTCTGGCTGCTTTTATAGGTGTTCATCAATTCAGGAAGCAGGTAGGAAAAAAAAAAAAGAGAAGTACAAACTCGATACTCTTCCCTTTCTTTCTATTTAGTATATTGACCTCATAGAGTCTAAAAGGATTAGTACTGGTTATAGAGTTATAGAGTTATAGACAACAACGGAATCACACAAAGCAGCATTCAAAAGACCTTGTTATTTGATGAAGATTAGAATTAAAGGAGGGGAAATGGGTCATTACACTGCTGGGACTTTTTTCTACCTTTTCCAAACTTTATGCAGACGCTGCGTAACCCTAGGAAGTGGCATATCTTCAAAGACAATGGTATTAATGCTGAAAGCACCTTTTATCAGGGAAATAATACTGAAGGCATGGGATAGTGTGCCGGCTAGACCCTGACAATAGTTTATTTTCTGTCTTCCTCAAGAACTAGCTTATTACAGCTCAGTCTTGACTAACAAATACTCTTGAATTTTGATCTTTTTGTACAAACATTCACCATTTTACCCTGAGAATGTCATTTTCTTCTGGTTTGGTAGTACAATTAATTCTGATGGCATGAATTTTTTGAAGCAAAAGAAATTCTGTGGTTTCAGAATTTGGAAATGCAATATAAGATTTACTTCTCTGCAGTCTGCTTTTTGTGTATACCCAAATACATGGTTCATAAGTGTTTGTTTGTTTAGATAGACTTCTGAATCACTGAAAACATTAGTAACTCTATGTTCCAGAGATGTTCATTTAGAACTAAAGAGATTAGATATGCTGTCCTTCTAGAAGAACCAGTCTGCAAATATGTGTCTGGGGAAAAAGTACTGTCCTGAAAACTGTGGGCTTAGGCTATGGGTGTTTCCACACAGTATGTCATTGAGTATTCCTGAAACATGTTCGTACTGAGGGATCTAAAAGGTTTATATAGGGTTCTAATGATTTATCCCCTACTGTCAAGTTCTGTTATGGTTATCATCCTTTTTCTCTCTGCAAACGAACACAGCCCAAATCCACTGATTCCAGGAAATTCATTTCTGGTCTTGCTAGCATAAGCTTTTGCTCAACAAGGAGAACTCTATTTTGCAGCTTCTTTCAGGAATTTAGAATGGCTTTTCAGAAAATGTCTGCAGGAATTTAATCATTTGTCCAGACAACAATACTCATGAAATATCACTCCCATTGAAAGCAACAGCCGATCTCCTATACTTTGATAAAACCAGGATCACACCAGGGGGCAGGAGGGACAGAAGTTTGTGGTCTCTTTCCCAGCCCATCAGGGAACAATACCTCCTTCCATCGTAAAATCTGCAATACATTCCTGCTTCATTTGCTGCCAGAAATTGCCTTTCCTCCTGCTGGATATTCCATCTTCCTTGGGGATTTTTTTCTACTTGCTGCACTCCTCCTTTTAACCTTTATCAGTTGCCACAAAGGAGAAAACTCTGTTATATGAAACTTCATAGAGCAGTACTGAGTGTGTGTGATGAAATGAAAGAAGACTAAAAGGACAACTGGCAGTGTCTCGTTAAATGTTTTATGGGGTGTCCTTCAGAGAAGTGATCCTAATGAGAAGTCCAATTGCCTCCTCTCCACCCACTGTCACCTTCTTAACAAGCATTTGATTAAGTGTGCTCAATCATAGTTGTTTTAGCCAGTGGCTTTCCTAAAAATAGCTCCCTGACTGGAG